CCTGTACGTCTCTCTATCATGTCACTGTGTAACACCTGTACGTCTCTCTCTATCATGTCACTGTGTAACTCCTGTACATCTCCCCTTATTATGTCACTGTGTAACACCTGTATGTCTCTCTCTATCATGTCACTGTGTAACACCTGTACATCTCTCTCTTTCATCTCACTGTGTAACACCTGTACATCTCTCCTTATTATGTCACTGTGTAACATCTGTACGTCTCTCTATGATGTCACTGTGTAACATCTGTACGTCTCTCTATGATGTCACTGTGTAACATCTGTACGTCTCTCTATGATGTCACTGTGTAACATCTGTACGTCTCTCTATGATGTCACTGTGTAACATCTGTACGTCTCTCTATGATGTCACTGTGTAACATCTGTACGTCTCTCTATGATGTCACTGTGTAACATCTGTACGTCTCTCTATGATGTCACTGTGTAACATCTGTACGTCTCTCTATGATGTCACTGTGTAACATCTGTACGTCTCTCTATGATGTCACTGTGTAACATCTGTACGTCTCTCTATGATGTCACTGTGTAACATCTGTACGTCTCTCTATGATGTCACTGTGTAACATCTGTACGTCTCTCTATGATGTCACTGTGTAACATCTGTACGTCTCTCTATGATGTCACTGTGTAACATCTGTACGTCTCTCTATGATGTCACTGTGTAACATCTGTACGTCTCTCTATGATGTCACTGTGTAACATCTGTACGTCTCTCTATGATGTCACTGTGTAACATCTGTACGTCTCTCTATGATGTCACTGTGTAACATCTGTACGTCTCTCTATGATGTCACTGTGTAACATCTGTACGTCTCTCTATGATGTCACTGTGTAACATCTGTACGTCTCTCTATGATGTCACTGTGTAACATCTGTACGTCTCTCTATGATGTCACTGTGTAACATCTGTACGTCTCTCTATGATGTCACTGTGTAACATCTGTACGTCTCTCTATGATGTCACTGTGTAACATCTGTACGTCTCTCTATGATGTCACTGTGTAACATCTGTACGTCTCTCTATGATGTCACTGTGTAACATCTGTACGTCTCTCTATGATGTCACTGTGTAACATCTGTACATCTCTCTCTATCATGTCACTGTGTAACACCTGTACATCTCTCTCTATTATGTCACTGTGTAACACCTGTACATCTCCCCTTATCATGTCACTGTGTAACACCTGTACGTCTCTCTCTATCATGTCACTGTGTAACGCCTGTATGTCTATCATGTCACTGTGTAACACCTGTATTTCTCTCGCTATCATGTCACTGTGTAACACCTGTATTTCTCTCGCTATCATGTCACTGTGTAACACCTGTATTTCTCTCGCTATCATGTCACTGTGTAACACCTGTATTTCTCTCGCTATCATGTCACTGTGTAACACCTGTATTTCTCTCGCTATCATGTCACTGTGTAACACCTGTATTTCTCTCGCTATCATGTCACTGTGTAACACCTGTATTTCTCTCGCTATCATGTCACTGTGTAACACCTGTATTTCTCTCGCTATCATGTCACTGTGTAACACCTGTATTTCTCTCGCTATCATGTCACTGTGTAACACCTGTATTTCTCTCGCTATCATGTCACTGTGTAACACCTGTATTTCTCTCGCTATCATGTCACTGTGTAACACCTGTATTTCTCTCGCTATCATGTCACTGTGTAACACCTGTATTTCTCTCGCTATCATGTCACTGTGTAACACCTGTATTTCTCTCGCTATCATGTCACTGTGTAACACCTGTATTTCTCTCGCTATCATGTCACTGTGTAACACCTGTATTTCTCTCGCTATCATGTCACTGTGTAACACCTGTATTTCTCTCGCTATCATGTCACTGTGTAACACCTGTATTTCTCTCGCTATCATGTCACTGTGTAACACCTGTATTTCTCTCGCTATCATGTCACTGTGTAACACCTGTATTTCTCTCGCTATCATGTCACTGTGTAACACCTGTATTTCTCTCGCTATCATGTCACTGTGTAACACCTGTATTTCTCTCGCTATCATGTCACTGTGTAACACCTGTACGTCTCTCTCTATCATGTCACTGTGTAACACCTGTATTTCTCTGTCTATCATGTCACTGTGTAACACCTGTATGTCTCTCTTTATCCTTGTCACTGTGTAACACCTGTAAGCCTTACTTTCCTATCCTGTTTCTTTCCAGTCTCCCCCATTAGAATGTAACTTTTGTAAGGCTAGGGGTTTCTGTCTGATGTGCTCTCATCTGTGTCAGTGGGGCCTAGACCAGTGCCTGCAGCGTGTAGGCATACAGTGAACAGTGAGGGGCCATGGCAGGGATGAGTGCACCCCGCAGCCTGCGCCGTGGAGTCTGCTGTGCCCTCAGCACTGCAGGGCTGGGCTGAGATTTGCTCTGACTTAAAGGATGGAATCAGCTCCTCTATGAAACGATTGGAGTTTGTAGTCAGAGAGCATATGTAGTTACCAGGATGGCGAGGCTGCACACATTCTAGGTCATTGAAGAAGAATAAGTCTTCACATGACAGCCTGCGTTCTCCTAGGAACATGCTCAGTCAAATTGTGCCAACTCCGTGGTGCCAGGTGGGCACTAGGCTTAGTGGCTTATCACTTAGTAAATTATATGTCAGTTTACTGTGTTTACACCTGAAACTAATGTAATGTTATATGTCAACTGGAACAGAATTTTTTAATTTTAAAAAATAATGTAAGCAGGAAAAATACATCAATAATGACCCGAGTTCTAGTTGCAGCTCCATAAGCACAAGGGTGACTGGGCACAGGGCAGCCTGTCCAGGAGCCTCCCTTTCTCCTCTGCTGCTGCGGGCGCGGCTGCCCTGCTCTTTTGTGTCTGTTAGAACCGTGTCCAGGGGGCTCACCAAAGGGCTCCTGCGTCGCAGGCTGTTCAGGCAGACACAGAGCCCGACCTCCCTACGCAGGAGCAGCCATTTCTGACGCTGCTGCGCGTTCTTCAGCTCTCCTTCCTTGTCCATCCCTGCCCGTGCCTGCATGCATGTGGCGTCCTGCGCAGTCCCCTCCCCACCCCCTTGTGGACCAGCACAGGCAGGATGTCCAGGGAGAAAGCAAGTTGAGGTCACAATGCCCCCATTGCTCTTGGGTGCGCGGGGAGGACTCGAGTGTCCGCCCGGCTCTGCTCTGGGTGCTCCTCAGTCAGCCTTGTCTTCTCGCCGCACAGGAAACGACCTGTTCCTCGTGGCCGTGCACGAGCTGGGCCACGCGCTGGGCCTGGAGCACTCCAACGACCCCACGGCCATCATGGCCCCGTTCTACCAGTACATGGAGACCGACAGCTTCCAGCTCCCCAGCGACGACCTGCAGGGCATCCAGAAGATCTACGGTGGGTACCACTGCTTCTGCGTTGTTGTTGCTTTGAATGTATAGACTTTAGGGAGAGGAAAGGAGGAGGTAGAGCGAGACCAGCTCCTCGCTCCACTTATTGGCGTGGACTTTGGTTGCTTCTGGCTGGAGATTGAACCTACTGCCGTGGACTCTCAGGTGATGCTCTAACCAGCCCAGCCACCTGCAGGACTTCTATACTTTTTAAGAAATTAATTTATTTGAGTTATTTTTTGAAGTATAAAAATGGGTTGTATTTTTTAAACCACTGCTTCTGTTTGCTTAACCCTGCCGAGGAGTCCAGAATTCCTGCTGTTCCTGCTTCTTTGAAATAGGTGCTCTCGGTATATCTGAGAGAGAAATACTAGGGAAACAGTCTGAGCTGTTGGCAAAAGGCTTCACTCCATCAGGTGTTGTGGCTGTAATCCAAGATGCCTGATAGACAGATCAGGAGGAATTTCTCACTGAGCTTCATCGAAACCTGTCGTCATAGCAAAGCTCTGATAAAGTTTAGTGTTTACGCTCAGGTAAAAATATGTGATAAATGAATGTAACCAATAAAAACAGCAAGAAATATAAGATTTTCTTCTAAGATACTGAGACTTTGGGGCAGACGCACAGGTTGTCTCCCGGGTTGGGATGCTGCTGTTAGGTATTTCATAGACAATGCCTTTTGAAGTTGCAGCAAAAACCCTTGCTGGTTGGACATAATGAAATTACCTCAAAGGCCTATAACTACTAAGAATGAAAGTTAACGAACAAGGGCGTGAGCGTTAACAGACGGCTACGCTGACTCACATGTAACCCTAGTGAACTTCTAGTGCAGTGCAGTCGCTTTTATTTATGGGTTCAGTCTAGAATGCAGAATACCATGAAGGGAAAGGACTATTACACATGTCGACTACAACCCCAGCTCCCTCACAGGAACCTTGGCCGCGGGAGGGCGTCGATGCCGCAGGGCTGTTCAGTTCCTGGCGCTCATTGCCTGCAGAGGGAGGATGTGCTGCGCTAAACTGGCGCGTGCGCTTCCCGCTTCCATTTCTCAGCGCCAGGAGAGGCTGCTTGCAGTCTTAGTGGCGTCATTTAAGTTCGTTAATTTTGTGTGCATTCGTTAGCTCGTCAACTGCAATATCTCAGTGATAAGCATTCTCACAGGGTTAAAACAGATTTGAAAAGCACAGATCCACTTGTGTGTGGCTCTTGATTTTTGGGGGAGACTCAGAAAGGCGATGTTTCTGGGACACTGGACACGCTGATGAGTATCCAAGGTAGCTAGCAGGTCCTTCCTGGAGCCAAGTCAAGGGTCTAGACAGAAGGTCTGCAAATTATGTGCAAGCAGGTCATTGCTTCTCTCTCTCTCTTTTATCTTGGAATACTCTTCATTTATTTATTTTTTTAATCTTCATTGTTGAAAGTATTACATATGTCCCCCTTTCCCCCCATTAACACCCTCCAGCCCACCCCTGAACCTTGCCCCAGGCTCTCACCACCTAATTGGCCGTGCCCGTGGGTTATGCATATAATACATATAAGGTCTTTGGCTAATTACCTTCCACCCACCCATCCTCCCCCGTCTTCCCTCTGATAGTCCACAGTCTGTTCCAGGCTTCCACGTTTCTGGATTCTCTCTGTTCATCAGTTTATTTTGCTAATTAGATTTCACATCTGAGTGAGATCATGTGATCTCACTTAGCATGATACTCTCTAGGTCCCTCCATGCTGTCTCAGAGGGTAAGAGATCCTTCCGTTTTACTGCTGCACAGTATTCCATGGTGAACTAGTAAATGTACCACAACTTTTTCATCCACTCATCTACTGATGGGCACTTTCCAGATCTTAAATTGTGCTGCTGCGAACATAGGGGTGCATACATTCTTCTGATTGGTGTTTTAGGTCTCTTAGGATATATTCCTAGAAGTGAGTTCACTGGATCAAATGGCAGTTCCATATTTAATTTTTTTGAGGAAACTCCATACTGTTTTCCATAATGGCTGCACCAGTCTACATTCCCACCAGCAGTGGGAGTCCTAGGGCTCCCTTCTCACCACATCCTCGCCAGCACTTGTCATTTGTTGATTTATTGATGTTAGCCATTCTGACAGATGTGAGGTGATACCTCATTGTCATTTTAATTTGCATCTCTTGGATGATTAGTAACTTTGAACATTTTCTCTTATGTCCTTTGGCCATCTGTATGTCCACTTTGGAGAAGTATCTATTTAGGTCCTTTGCCCATTTTTTAATTGGATTGTTTGTCTTACTTTTGTTAAGTTGTATGAGTTCCTTATGTATTTTGGATATTAACCCTTTATTGGATGTATCATTGGCAAATATGTTCTCCCATAGAGTGGGCGCCCTTTTCACTGTGTTGATGGTTTCTTTTGCTGTGCAGAAGCTTTTTATTTTGATGTAGTCCCATTTATTTATTCTCTCCTTAGTGTGCTTTGCCCCGGGATATGTATCTGTAAACATATTGCTATGAGTGATGTCCTAGATTTGCTGCCTATGGATTTTTCTAAAATTTTTATGGTTTCTCAACTTACATTTAAGTCTTTTATCCATTTTGAGTTTATTTTTGTGTATGGTGTAAGTTGGTGGCCTAGTTTCATTTTTTTGCATGTTTCTGTCCAATTTTCCCAACACAATTTATTGAAGATACTGTCTTGACTCCATTGTATGCTCTTGCCTCCTTTCTTAAATATTAATTGAGCATAATGGCTTGTGTGAATTTCTGGGGTCTATGTTCTGTTCTATTGATCTATATGCCTATTCTTGTGCCAGTACCAGGCTGTTTTGATTATGGTGGCTTTGTAGTATAACTTTAAATCATTATTGTAATTTCTCCAACTTTGTTTTATTTTCCCTCGGGATTGCTGCAGCTATACAGGGTCTTTTTTGATTCCATATAAATTTTTGGAGTATTTGTTCTAAATCTATGAAATATGCTGTTGGTATTTTAATAGGGATTGCATTGAAGCTCTAGATTGCCTTGGGTAGTATGGATATTTTAATGATGTTGATTCTAAAAAAAAAGCTTCAGATACCCCACCACTAGTTGGCGCAGCGAACGTCACAGTGAACGCCACAACATCAGCCCAGCATCACGTGTCTCACTCGTTCACTTTATGATTTGACATACGAGTAATTTGAGTTACGAGCTCCGTCACGGAACGAATTAAACTCGTAAGTCAAGGCCCCACTGTATATTCTTCCACTTGTTTATGTCATCTTCTATCTCTCTTTTCAAAGTCTTATAGTTTTCTGAGTACAGGTCTTTTGCCTCCTTGGTTAAGTTTATTCCTCGGTATCTTATTATTATTGGTGCAATGGTAAATGGGATTTTTTGTTTAGTTTCTCTTTCTGAGGACTCATTATTGGTGTATAAAAAAAGCTATTGATTTTTGGGTGTTGATTTTGTATCCTGCTACATTGCCAAATTTATATATTAAGTCTAGTAGTTTTTTGGTGGAGTCTTTAGGTTTTGCTCTGTACAATATCATGTCATCTGCAAATAATGACAGATTTCCTTACTCCTTTCCAATTTGGATGCTTTTTACCTCTTCTTCTTGTCTGATGGCTGTGGCTATGACTTCCAGTACTATGTTGAATAAGAGTGATGAAAGCGGACATCCCTGTCTTGTTCCTGTTCTTAGGGGAAATGGTTTTAGTTTTTGCCCATTGAGTAGGATATTGGCTGTAGGTTTGTCATATTTGGCCTTTATTATGTTGAGATATGATCCCTCTATTTCCACTTCACTGAAGGTTTTTATCAAAAATGGATGTTGGATTTTGTTGAATGGTTTTTCTGCATCTATTGATATGATCATGTGGTTTTTGCCTTTCAATTTGTTTATGTTATGTATCACATTTATTGATTTGCAAATATTGTACCAGCCTTGCATCCCCGGAATAAATCCCACTTGATTATGGTGTATGATCTTTTTAATATATTGCTGGATCTGATGTGCTAATATTTTGTTGAGGATTTTAGCATCTATGTTCATCAGGGATACTGGTCTGTAATTCTCTTTCTTTGTAGTGTCTTTATCTGATTTTGGAATTAGGATAATGTTGGCCTCATAAAAGAGCTTTGAAGTATTCCCTCCTCTTGGATTTTTTTGGAATAGTTTAAGGAGTATAGGTGTTAATTCTTCTTTGAATGTATGGTAAAACTCCCCTGTGAAGCCATCTAATCCAGAGCTTATGTTTGCTGGGAGTTTTTTTGTTTGTTTCTTTTATTTATTTATTTATTTATTTTAATTACTGCTTCAATTTCATCAGTAGTTATTGGCCTATTCAGGTTTTCTGATTCTTCCTGATTCAGTTTTAGGAGATTGTATTTTTCTAGGAATTTTTCCATTTCATCCATGTTGTCCAGCTTGTTGGCATATAGTTGTTCATAGTATTTTCTTACAATCCTTTGTATTTCTGTGGTGTCAGTGGTTACTTCTCCACTTTTTTTATTGCTGTTATTTATTTGGGTCCGCTCTCTTTGTTTTTTGATGAGTCTGGCTAATGGTTCATTATCTTGTTTATCCTTTCAAAGAACAACCTCTTGGTTTTATTGATTTTTTGTTTTGTTTTGTTTTGTTTTTGTCTCTATGACATTTATTTCTACTTTAATCTTTATTATTTCCTCCGTTCTATTTGCTTAGGGCTTTTCTTGTTCTCCTTTTGTTCTTTAAGTTGTAGGGTTAATAGTTTATTATTAATATTCTTGTTTTTTAAGTAGGCCTCTAGTGCTATGAACTTCCCTCTTGGGACTGCTTTTGCTGTGTCCCATAGATTTTTGGTTGTTATGTGTTCATTTTCATTTGTTTGTAGGAAGTTTTTTATTTCTTTCTGATCTCATTGGTAATCCATTCATTGTTTAATAACATGCTATTTAGCCTCCAGGTGTTTGAATGTTTTTGGGTGTTTTTACTGTAGTTGATTTCTAATTTCATTCCACTGTGATCTGTGTAGATGTTTGACAAGATTTCCTCTTCTTGAACTTGTAGA